CTACCCCAAGTTATCCTTTATAAACATGTTTTTTCTTTAAATCATTTTAAGTGCTGATTCTATAAATTTATTGTTATTTCAGCATTTTTCCTAGTTTCGTGCCTTTGTTGTGTGTGTGTTTGTGTGTGTTTTAGTAAAATTATACTTAATTATTCTGAATGCTTTTTGACAGATAGTCGAAACAGAGAGTCTGCTTAAACCTATACTGTCAGCTGAAGAAGTTCAAGGTTGTAATTTTTAACTACAGCTTTTGTATGTACGCACTCTAAAGTGAGACGTGAGATCTTTTTTTTTTTTGCATCTGAATTAATTTTCCTATGCGTGGTTATGGGCAGTTTGCGTGCATGGGACCTACAAGAAGAACTTGGAGTCGATTCTGGATGGGGGTCTCAGGCGTATGAAGAGATTACACGTCCATTTTTCATGTGGCTTGCCAACTGATGGAGAAGTTATTAGTGGTAAGTATTTGACGGTCATAACAACTTGACGTGGTCTGTCATTTTGTTTATTTACTTTTTACTGCTGAATATGAATTTACGGGGCGAGCTTTAGTCTATTTATTACAAAATATCCTGTGAATTTCTTCAAAGTATTTGTTTTAATGGATGACATCATCTTGTGAATTGTTAACTCGTTTTGATAATCTTGACGTGCTTCTTCAGGTATGAGACGAGATGTTAACGTCTTGGTCTTTCTCGACGTGAGAAAGGCTTTGGAAGGTGCGAATTATTAAACAACATAATATTTCCTTTTTATAAACAAAAGGCACTCCATGCCAGTCACTTTCTTTGGCTGTATTGTTTCTAACTCTAGTTTACGACCAACAGAGGGAATGAAGCTATATATATCTGACAACAAGGTGATTTTAACAGAGGGCTTTGATGGAGCTGTGCCTGTCAAGTACTTCAAGAAGATTGAATCATGGCCGAAGAGAGAGCCTATACCTTTCTAAAACGACTTTTGAAACTGATAATTTACCTTGAAGATGAAAAAAAAAAACTTGAAACTTTGTAAAGTTATCTTAAGCTTTTCTTGAGGTACTGTTTTTGTGGCTCATGTAGAGTATTGGTTTCCCATTTTTCAATTTGAAAGGAATTTTCATAAATGAGTATCTCATCTGATAACACCTGAGCATATTTATTCATCTTATTATATCATTAAACACTTGAATCATGTACAGCACTTAACAATTTAATGCCTATATACTGATTCTTAGCATGAAAAGGAAGGAAAGAGAACACAATTCATGAAGTCCGTAAAAACTGTCAACGAACGTAGAAACTTCGTGAAGAAGACATAGGAGCAAGTGACCGTCTACACAATAGCGACTGATGATAGAAAATCGGAAAAGTGCAAACGAAAGGGTTCAAAATGTTAAAAGATGGAGCTCCTCATGATCTTCATGCACCACGAACAAAAATCCGACAAAAAATTTCCATTTTGTTCATATATCATTATAACAGCTGAAAGGCCCGGACAAAGTGAATCTATTAAAACGAAAATATATCACTGAACCAGCTTGTTATGCAAGACTGGGAAATATACTAAAACGAAAATACAATAAAACAAAGTGAATCACAGTTCAAAATGGTAGCCATTTTCATACTATAAGGATCGAACTTGTTAAGAACTAAATGAGGAATATATAGATCACATAAACTTCACAGGAGGAAACAAAACATGTAAAAAGAAAGATGAGTCGTGACGAACAGATTATCCAAAGAACGGAAGTGAAATAGCGAAAGAGAAAGAATTTTCATTTTTACCTTTCGTGCAACAAATTAAAGCACAATCCTCCATTCCGAGGCAACATGGATACCAATCGAAATGTGCTTATAGGAACGAAGACCTGCAAACTATCTAGCAAGAAAACACCAGATATTAAAGATTGCGAGTAACTACAAACATCTATATTTGGTACCATCACACTACAAAAACCTAGAGAATTGCAGCTCGGAATAGTTCTCGACTCTTAGCATGCTATTTTTTTTCAGCATTGCTCCAAAACTCTTGATTAATCAAACAGAACAGCTTAAGGGTGGCACAAATTATGTCGCTAGATATTGTGTCAAAGTACATAATATGGATAGATCATAAACCATGGCAACTATATTTTCACAACTCCAGCTAAGGAAAATGCGCATTAAGAGATATCATACTAAATAGACGATTACAATATGCTCATTTATTTCTGAACGTCGTGTGAATGTGCTGATGCCTAACCGTAAAATCTAAACATAATGACACATCTAGGATCAAGCTTCTCAAACATCAGATGAAGATTCATTTGAACAATAGAAAGTAAAAATAAGAAGTAAAAACTCAATTCTTTGACCAACATACGCAACATGTGGCGCATGTGCTCTTATTACAACAAAATAACTCATGCCACAAATTCTTGATGCATGACAAGATCACACTTAAGCGTAATAAATCTAACCAAGCATAACTGAACGCAAAAGTTCATGCAAAAGAAATGTACGTAAATACTCATACAAGACAGGCTATGGCATACAATTTTTTTTATTGAAATTGGATTCAAACTATCCACGTCTATCAGTCGGTAAATCTTTGCTATATCAGTCTTGAATTCTACACAAATGAGAAAAAAATACAACAATTACAATTGTAATCCCATGGGAAACTCAGAGTTGTCTTTTATCCTTCTTCGATGCAGATCAACACACCAAGGCAATCAATGCCCACCACCCAAACAAGAAAAAGAACCCTCTTCATCATGGGATCAGGATCACTCCTTATATGGCATCATCAAGATATACCAAAGCAAGGTAACTAAGAATTTTGGGGAGAAACAAGATATGTCCAAAAAACGAGAACAATCAAAAGAATGTAATGAAATGAAATGAAACAAGGATAGGATATACGATCCTACCACACAACTTTTCAAGAAACCATATCACTGTGAGCTTTTCTTCCCGTTCACATAGTAACCCAAGTACCACTGAACGAATTTCTTTAAGCCCATCTGCAAATCGGTTGAGGGCTTATACCCGAGCTCCCTCTGGGCCAAGCTTATATTCGCATGTGTAAACTGCACATCACCATTCCTCGGCAGCTTCGTGATCAACCTTTTGGCCTTCACCTTAAGCAGCTTCTCCAAAATGCTGACAAGGTTCGACACGGGTACAGGCGATGTATTACCCAAGTTGTAAACCCTCAATTGGGCCGGGCCCTTCTTCTTTCCCCCGCTGCCTGTACTCTTCTTGGCCGTATCCAACGCGGCCAAACAACCCTTGACGATGTCCTCAATGTAGGTAAAGTCTCTAGCCACAGTGCCATGATTAGCTGCCTCAAAGATGGGAATTGACTTCCCCTTGAGTATATCCTTGGTAAAGAAGAAGTATGCCATGTCGGGCCTGCCCCAAGGCCCGTACACCGTGAAGAACCTCAATCCAGTCAGCGAGAGCCCGTAAATGTGATTGTACGTGTGTGCAATCTCCTCACCGGCCTTCTTGGTAGCAGCATACAGGCTGGCGGGCTGGTCGGTTCTGTCCTTTTCGGAGAACGGGACCTTCGTATTGAGCCCGTAGACCGAGCTGCTCGAGGCCCACACAATCGCGGGCTGAGGGTTGGCGCTCTTGCAAACCTCGAGGAGGCTGACGAGGCCCGCTATGTTGCTGTGGACGTACGAGCTAGGGTTTTCCATGGCGTAGCGCACGCCGGCCTGCGCTGCCAGATGCATGACGTGGGTGAACTTGACGATGTCGAACAGCTTGGTCAGTAAATCGGAATCATTAATGTCGCCCTCGACGACGTAAATCCCGCTGCGCTCGAGCAGGGCCTGCCGGTCCCTTTTCAGGGCGGGGTCGTAGTAGTCGTTGAAATTGTCGAGGCCCACGACGCCGTCTCCGCGGCGGCGGAGGGCGGCGGAGACGTGGGTGCCGACGAAGCCTGCAGCGCCGGTGACGAGGACGGAGATCCCGTTTCCGGACCGGACGCGAGCGGAGTCCCGGACGCGCTTCTCGAACTTGGGGCCGGCGTAGATGCTGGTGCGGAGGGATCTTCTGGAGAGATCTGAGGGCGATGAGGAGGAGGACGACGGCGACTTGCAGAAAAAGACGAAGATCAAGCCGAGGAACATCAAGGACCAGAATGTGAGCTTGGCAAGGGATGAATGCGGCCTTAGCCGATTGTACGCTGTTTTATCCATCTTGAATTTGCCCTGGGTTGAAGGGCCGCTGTCAATGTGCTTCATTTGGAACATCAATCCAGCAATTACAGAAATTTTGCAGATTACAGAAGAAAATGGTATCTTTTTTTTTGTTTCCAATCTGATAATTATATTATACCTTTGATTTTGGTTTTTGGGTGAATGAAGTATGAGATTATGGAGGAAAGTTGCAGAAAGGGGCCTTATTTTGATGTGGGAATCTTGAGGTTTCTTGTTGGGGCTGATGATGGCATTGTTTTTTTTAATCCCTTTTTATGTTGAAGGGCTCTTATTCTCTTCTTTTCTTTTCTTTTCTTTTCTTTCTTGTTATTTTAGCTTTTGATTTGATAGAGGGAGAGGATTATAATTATAATTATAATTATAAAATAAAGGATATGGGATTTGGATAAATATGACAAAAGAAATACAAAAGGAGGGAGAGGAAATGAGATTTGAAACAAAATTAATGATAATGGATTTTGGTAAGCATGGAGGAGCTCTAATTAGTGATTTTTATGTAAATGTTTGTTTTAGTAGATCTTGCTTAGTTTCTTCTAGAACATTATGGTTCACTTATTTATGGGACAGTTAAATGGATTGAGGTCAAAGTTTCATAGCTAGCAAGTTTAAGGGTGCTTCTTTATTAATTAACTATTTCATATGATTTTTTTTTGTTAACTATAGTTTATTTTTAAAAAATTTAATATGGTTAGTTGTTTAAAATAAAGTAATTAAAATTAAATTGATGTAAAAAGTATGAGATAAATGAGTGGATGAATAATGAACTGAAGTTGATGTGATGTGTAAGAATGACTGATTTGTATTATTTAATTACATTTATAGTATTAAGGACTGTGAGTTAAGTTAAATTGAGGTAAATTTTAAGTATGAATTAAATGGGAGTGAGTTAATTTGTAAACAAGCATACCCTTAAGATTCAACCTATGTGAATCTAAATCCTAATTTTATCGAGTTTTGGATAAAGGAGTATTGATATTTACCAAATATTTTAAAATAAATATTTTTTTGTATATCTTGAATATAAACTATATACAACATTAATTTAAATAGATATAAATAATATTAATTAATTTGCATTATTTAAATTATAAACTCAAATTTTATAAAGTAATATTGATATAGATTAAATGTTACACATTATAACAAACTAGTATTTGACTTGTGCATTTGCACAAATGTAAATAAAGTTTTATGAGTTATTTATATGCATATAATATTAAAATTGAAATGCATGATATGAGGTGGTAGTTTACTGCACCAAATAAATTTAAAATTATTGGAAAAAAAGGAAAAAAAAATGTTTAATATAATAAATTGATTTAGCTGAAAATTTAATGCAATTAACGATTAGGTGAGGTGAGAAAAAAAAAATAAAAAAAAAACATCATAACATCTGTAACTGTTTTAGGAAAGAATTGAAAGTGAAATTAATTGCTGAAATTTTAGACGGGATCATATAATTAAATGCAGGTAAATAAAATTTAATGGTGCTCCAAATTATATATATATATATATATACACATATTAATTAACATGTGCATTTTAACAGAGAATAATACTTAAAAATGATAATAATATAAAAAAAAAAAAAATCA